ATTCCCAGTGCCTCACTAAGTTCCTGGCACACAGTTGGTGTACAATAACCACTGGTTGAAGAAATAATCCTTGCCTTATTTAGCTGCTGTCAGGATTAGATGAGACCATGTGTGCATGGTGTCCTTAGAGTGCCTGGCGCATAGTAGGTGCTTAGTGCATGTTAATCTGTTCTTATTGCTGTTTTGTTAGTCCCCTGCTCTTTTCTCAGGTCAGCCTATTCTTTCATCCTGCTCTGCTCACATATATTCCTCCCCATGTGGGGTGATGCTGATGGGAAACTTAGGATTCATCCATCCATCCATCCATCCATCCAATATTTGTTGAGCACATTCTAAGTACCAGGCACTGTGCTAGGCACAGAGGAAACACTGTGCTAGGCTTAAGATGAATACAGTTTTTGTCCTCAGGGAGATCACCTCTCTGGAGAAGACTCAGACAAAGGAAACCTTTGATGGGAGCTGCTGAAAAACACAGGAGTGACACCTGATCCAAGCTTCGGAGGTCACAGTTGACATCCAAGCTGACACCTGAAGAATGAGCTGGAGAAAGGCAACGGTAGCCATGGTAGGGGCCCCTTTACCCCCTTTATAAGGTGGTCTGGTTCCAGAGGGCCATGTTTTGGGACCCGTTTCCAGGAAAATCAAAAGATATAGCTTTGTTGGGCCACATACTGGGCCACTAGTTTTGTCTAACATTACTAGGCAAAGAGGTAGTCTATACAAGTAAAATTCTCAGAAAACTGAAGTCCACCTCTCTACATGCCAGCACCTTAATTGTTTGTGATAAAAATATTTCATTTTTAACTTTCTCTTGCTGACTCACAGTCACCACCATGAATATAAATTATTTAACTGGGATGAAATTGGCAAATCTCTCAGGAGCTACTGATATACAAGGAATTACTACCCCTATAATTGAGGAAATTAAATTTATTCTCTATTTGGATAAGTAAAATGTCCTGCTATGTGCAAGATGGTTATGAGTGCAGTGTAAATGGTAAACGTGGACAAGGCCTCACACTCAGACTCTAGTAGCAGAGAGATGTTGTGAGTAAATCACTGTCGGACACGGTATGAAGAGAATGGGCTGACAGGGATGTGGGAAAGAGATTATGTGATGTGCAGCGTGAGGCTACATTTGGATAGAGTGTGGAAGGATTAGAAAAGTTAGGTATGTGGGCAGCACTTGGGGTGTTGTTCTGTTCATGGGATTTCAACCATCACTGAATGCCCTGTCAATCAAAGAGATGAAACTATCTGAGTAAAATAAGCAAAAAGTAGCATTTTAAAGAATGCCAGTACTCTGTTACCCCCCGATTCAACTCACCTATCAACTTCCCTGCTCCTTGCCCATTTACATTTTAGTTCTGACTCAGTTGGGATGAAAACTTTTCCTGATAGTGAAGGTAATCACTATTTAGGAAATATGGGATTCTAGAATGCACAACTTTAACTGAAATGTAATCATGAGCTTCCTAACAGTTCCTAAGTTGTGAATATTACTGAAAAAGAAGTTAACTAGAATTTTTTCCTTAGAATTTTTAAAGTTCAAAATGAAATCTCCTTTTCAACAAATGGTACTGAAACAACTGGATATCTCCATACAAAAGAATGAGGTTGGACTCACACCATATACAAATGAAATCTCCTTGGCTTCCTTTGGCTTCAAGAACTGTTTATAGATTATGTTACTGAATTTCTGCTTTCAAAAGAGAGGCTTACATTGGATGTTTGTATCCCTGGAATAAAGTGAAGGTCTCTGTGGCACCGGTTACAGAAACACATGGATGATAACACAATGTGACACATCTTTTTCTAGTCTTTCCAACCAGAAGTCTCCCCTAAAAGCACTTCCTGTGCACCATGGCTGTTGATCATAATCCAGAAGTGGTCTTTTCTTCTGCATTTCCCCCTTCACTTCAAGGATAAAGGCGATCTTCATCCACAGGATTAGTTGTGCTCCTTGTATAATTCCAGCAGAATTACCAGAGTGACCCAATTATGTCATCTACAAATGGAAAACATGAATTTGGGCCAAACATCTAATAGGGCCTAAATTTTTGTCTCCATGTCACCCTGTCACTAGAGTTTGGGACCTGAAAAGGGTATGTTTTCATGGCTGTGTTACTGATATGAGAATTTTGTTTAATTTTCTGTTCGCTGAAGAGTGTTGGGAGAATGTTAGAGAGAAGGAAAGGAGGGCAGACCATTAGGGAATTGTTTATGGGAAACAATGTGCCTGTTCGCGTTGGAATTATAGGCCTGATATCTATGTTCAGTCAGGAAGATTTCAAAGCTGGTTTGAGAAACTGGTTTACTTTCAGGATGAGTTCTGAGTTTTGTTTCTGAAAGTTTTTGATTTTTACCTTCCATGATTGTACCCTTTAATCCCAGTAAAGAAAAAAATAAACATACTGGATCTTAGGGACATTGGACGGATTTGCATCCCTTGCTCCTGCCTGTCTATCCCTCCCTAGAGAGAGTCAATGTGGTAAAAATCTGCTATTCATGGATTGGTTTTCCAGGTTATTTAGAGTGTAATTTCGTTTCATCTTTTTGCTAACTGCTTTTAGCCACCAGAAAAGACAAAAAGCAGCTGAAATTCACACAGGTTTGAATTTTACTCCTTCATATCTTTGATAAGAGGTAAATGGGGAGGTGAAGCAGAGGAGTAAACCAGGTGGACTGTTGATGAACTCAACAGATCCATGCCCAGTGCTCCGAGCTGGGGGAACGAACAGAGGAGTCAGGCAGAATCTGGGATCCCAATGAAGATGGGCTATAAAGGTGGATCCGGAAATGAAATGAGAGACAGAACTTTGCATTTAGAAGAGCTAGAGTACTTGGAAAGAGGGATGAGGCACAGAAGATCAAGTATGACCTTTGAGGAAATCTCTCAGCCAGTAGGTAACTTGCCCATGAACCCAAAACATGTGGCCTTTCTATATGGATTTCCATTTCATCAGGTCAGGGCTCAGGGCAGTCTGCCCCAAGATAGCCCACAATGGCATATCAATTATTTTGAATTAAAGTTACTTAAGAATCTGCCTGTGCAAGCAGAAAGCCCTGACCTCCCTGGCCCCCTAAAAGAAGAGATAAATCTCCCATGTGACAGGTGCCCTCCCTGCTCCTGAGGGCTGAGAGAAAACCTTATCACAGAGTTAAAAGAATCCAGAGTCCAAAGCATGTCTAAACAAATATTATAATGCCTTTACTAATTTACTACCCAAGCCCAAACCTTGTTTAGATTCCTCACTAGCTAATACCCAAACGTTGCTTATATTCCTTTCTTTTTTCTTTTTTTTTTTGACATTCAGTATTATTTTATATTAGTTTCAGGTATACAGAATAGTGGTTAGGCATTTATATAATTTATGCAGTGATCCCCACGATTACTCTAGTACTCATCTGGCATTTACATAATTTATGCAGTGATCCCCATGATTAATTTAGCACCCATCTGGTTGCAACATTATTGACTATATTCTCTATGCTGCACTTTACAGCCTGGTAACTATTTTGTAACTACCAATTTGTATTTCTTAATCCCTTCACCTTTTTCACACAACTCCCCAACACCCCTCCCCTCTGGCAACCATCAGTTTGTTCTCTGTAGTTTAGATTTCTTTCTAATGAGTACTAACTTTCCTTGTTCTGTCAATTTCTAACAAATTCATTGTTTCTTTGTCTAAAAAGTACAAAAAGGTGCCTGGATTGATCATTTCTTTGAGTCTCATTTTATGATCTGAGCATCATATTACGATTCTCCTGTGCACACATATTTTTTTCCTTTTTTTTGTTTTTGTTTTCCTTCTTTTTTTGTTTGCTGTACACACATATTAAATTATTTTTTTTCCTGTTAATCTAGTCTTGTGTCCATTTTATTATTTTGTTACTAGTCCAGCCATAAGAACTAAAGAAGGGTATCCCTCTTCCTCTCCAACAATTGCAACCAGCTGAATACACCTTCCCGAGCTGAAACAGCCATTTGTCAAGCAACTTTGAAGACAAGTATCATTTGCTAAAATGGTTACAATATTCTCTGCAGAATACACAGTTACTTACAACATATTGTACAGATAAAGTCACGTTCAGCAACACATTTAGAGAAGCACATAGCACTGGGTTGGGGGTAAATCTTCAGATGCACAATACTGTTTTCTATCAGATACAGGAAGAAATCACTAATTGGAATGTCTTCCCTAGTCTTTGGACAATGTTTAGGTCAGAAGTTTCCACTAGCAGAGGGTGAACATTTTGTCAAGTTGGGAAAGAGCATTAAAGTCCCTGGACCACCTGTGTCACCCATCTGCGTATCCACCTGAAGTCATAATCAGCTTAATCTTGAGAGACAGCACGGAGGCCATCACAGGAGGGTTTGACAGTTGCCAGATCCCTGGCAGAAAGGGCATCTTGTATTTTGTGTCCCTTCCTTTATTAATAAAAATATTCTGTATGCAAAATAAATACACTAGAGTAGGGGTTGTCAAATTATGGCCCCTGGGCCAAATCTGGCCCACCACCTATTTTTGCATAGCTCATAAGGTAAGAATGATTTTTACATTTTTAAATGGTTGAAAAACAACAAAAGACTCATAATGTATCACAATATGTAGAAATTATATAAAATTCAAATTTCAGTTTCTATTAATGAAGGTGTACTTAAACAGCCACACTCATTCACTTCTGTATCGTCTATAGTAGCTCAGGCTACAACAGCAGAGCTGAGTAGGTGTGACAGAGACCGTTTGGCCCACAAAACCTAAAGTATTTACTCTCTGACTGGTTATAGAAAAAGTGTTCCAACACTGTTCTTAAGTCCTGAATGTCCCTGCAAGCCTGACTTTGGAAGGACTTTGATGGGGAGAATCTGTTTCCCCTCAACATCAGTATTTCCACACATCCTTGCCTTGAGACAAAATCACAGTGGCCAAGGCCACTACAAACAGAGTCTGTGTAGCCCTGGGTTCAAAGAGAAGCCATGAAGAAAAACCACTTACGTAGGATCCATAATCCACAGCCAGGGTCTGCAGGGCCCAGGGTAGACCAAGACCGATAAGGATGTCAAACACATTGCTCCCAATGGAGTTGGACACAGCCATGTCCCCCATGCCTGCAAGGACAAGAGGTCACTCGAATGAGGGAGGTGATACCAAGGGGACGCGGGGGCCCCACGAGGGAGTCTCTCAAGCTTGCGGTCTGACAGCAGGAGGCCTAGCTGACAGGTCTGCATGCTCACGTATTTGGTTCTACTCCTCAGTCAGTAGAATAGAATATGTATTTTCAATAGAGTAGAATAAAGTATGCATTCTTTGGACTGTTGACCTTTACTTTAAATATGATCACTGTTTTATAAAGCAGCTCATGATCTCACCAACCCATTCATATTAGTGTTATCACGCACCTGCTCTACACTGTATTCAATTCTTCTTCTGAATCATTGAGCAATATTAAGAAAAATAATGTAACCAGGAGAATTATGAGAGGGCTTGTAGAGGACACTGTGCTAAGTGTTGTAGCTACACATTGTGTTTACTAAAAACAAAGGCCGTCTAGCACAAATCAGGCATGTAAATTAGAGTGGGTGCTGGGAAAGGACACGGCCATTGGGAGGTGCACGTCTGGGAAGGTAAGCTTGGTTTTGAAGGAGAGAAGGATCTGTCACACACAAAAGAGTGGCCTCTGGAAACTGCCACTTTGAGGGGTCCTGCAGCTGGGTAAACTGTAGGGCATGGGGTCTGTCCTCTTCAAGCCTCAGTTTCCTTACCCATAAAATCAGTACGACTGTCCCTAACTCATAGAGTTGTTGTTTAAATTGAGATAATATGTCTAAATTGCTTTGCTCAGTGTGTGGTACTCAGCAAAGGTTAGCTATCCTTATATTTAGTACTATTTTTAATAGTAGAGAAATGGTAATATGAACTCCAAAAGGGGATGTGGGTACTACCTAGGAAATGTCTCTGCTTTTCTCAAGGACTTTCTGGCTTATTTGTTGCTCTGTTCTTCTGATGCCAAGAAGCCTTCTGACCAACATGATCTTGAAGTCACTCATTGCTCCTTCCAAGCCAGAATTTGATGCCCTGGTAATTGCCATGTGGACCTCCTGACCCCAAAAGGAAGGCCTTCCTTTCTTTCCCATACCCATTCCACTGGGGCCCCACCTTGTCTGGCCACAATGAGGCTGGCCATGCAGTCTGGCACGCTGGTCCCGGCTGCCAGGAAGGTGATCCCCATGATGACATCAGGAATCCCCAGCGTGTAACCAACGATCGTGACCTGGAAGAAGCAGGAAGACGTGGTGAGCTGAGAGCCGACGCCAGTCCTATCTGCCCATGGATCCTCTGACCATGAAGCAAAAAAGGCTTCAATCTGGGCGGTCTCTCCAGGAAGCAGAGTCTGCTCTCTGTACCGAGACAAGAGTGCACAGAACTTCTAGTGCAGCAGACCAGGGCTGCAGGTCAGGGGACCAGGATGTAGTTATGAAGCCCATGTTTTCCCATCAAAGATTGGCCTTTTTTACTTTTTCCTTTCAGGTGAGACAGGCGGCTTGAGAGAGAAAATACAGAGTTTCTGGGGAAAGGCAATATTGGGACAGAATATTTAAACTCAGGATGGTCCTGGGAAACCCAAATACATGGCTACCACACTGCACTGGGAATTTGAGCTTCCAAGTCCTGAGCTGCATAATGAGAATTTACAACGACTGGAAAGGGGCTGAATTCACACTATCCAGTCTTGTAGGAAAAGCCATAAGCGGTCGATTCCTTTCTTCTCTCCCTTGAAGCTTGCTACCATCATCTTTGTCAACATCATCTTCTGCACCATATCATGTATGTTTATTTAGTACTTAGGCATTGTGCTCAGTGATGTTCATGGGTTTTAACTTAATTATCACAACAACCCTCTGTAATAGGGGGCCATTATTATCTCCATTCTTCAGATAAGGAAACTGAGGCACTGCCCAAGGCACACGTGCTAATAATCACAGGGCACATTAGGGTTAGGCGGGCAGGCTTACTTGCGTAGGCAGTGCCTCTGTCTACATCGGCGGGGATTAGACAGAGGATGGAAACAGGTGATACCTGAGACATTGCTTTCATTATATAAATAAGCCCATTTTAGACTCCTAATTTCCAGATAGGAAAACTGAGAGGAAAGCAGTTGATGAGACATCATGATGAGGGTGGGGGGCAGTGGCCAAAGAGAGGTGAGGGGGAGAGAGACTAATTCCCTGTATGTTGGCGTAAGAAAAGGGCAACTTGATTACTATTGCATTGTTCTGTACACCTGAAACTAACAATAAAAAAAAAGAAGAAAAAAAAGAAAGAAAAGGGCAACTTGCAGGAGCTGAGACGAACTGGTCATTTTAGGATGCCACCTGACTGCCTCACTTTCTATAGTTACAAGAAATGCAAACCACATGTTTTAAGTAGCACATTCTCCTGACAGTTCCTCTCAGGCCAGCAACTGAAAGGGACACCCATGCATGACACCCTGACTTCCTCCAGTTGCTCCTTCCACATTCAAAGGTTTAGGGAAAGTTAGATCCATTGAGATGTGTGGATTGTTCCTCCCAAACCAGAGAATGCACTTTATATCCGTTCAGTGCTGAACTGAACTGGTCAGGGTGGCCCCGGGGATCTCTGCCTTCTGCTCTCCAGGGAGGAAAGTGAGATGCAGAAACAAACATTTCTGTTTGAGAAACAGAGCCACAAGCATCCTGGCCAAACCTTGTTTTCCTTTCTAACCCTCAGCTGGGTCCCTGCAGGAATCTGGTTTGGCTCGCTGGGGCCTGGAAAAGAGCTGCTGTTATTATGATGCTTGTGGTAGAATCTGGAATTTTGGGGAACCGATTCCCTAGTTGGCTGGGCCAGGTCTCGTGCTCCCCTTGTTTTCTCCCCACTCCTGGCCAATTTTCAGGAGTTTTTAGAACCTCCGCCAGAGCAGAAGGAGGCAAACAGAAGGAGGGTGAACCTCAGATCAGTCAGATCAGTGGATGCGTTTGCATGTTAGTGGACTTGGGAGAAAACCATTAAGCCCTTGGAGGTCAGGGACACCAACACTATTAGTCCCCAGCCTGAAACAGAGATGGCACCCATTGAATATGTCAAATAAAAATGTTAATGAATACAGGATGAGGGAGAAACCCATGGCTATAAGATTTGGATTGAAAAAAATAATTTTCTATTTCTCTTAAAGGCAAGGGATAATTATGAGTTAATTGTGTTAAGTTTATAAATTTGTTATTACCTCCCAAGTAATCTTTTCAGATTCTTTTTTTAGTTCTTGAATTTAATTCTCCATAATTCATACATTGCATTTCTGTCTAGCACTCAAGCAAGATTAATTTAGATTTACATAATTTTGTCATGGCTTTTAATTTCTGCCCAACTCCAGTTCTAATGAATTAGGTTTGCATCCCAGTTAAAAAGTACAGTCATACATTTGCAGTGCATTCTGGATGGCTGTGTTTCCTAAAATGGCTTTGGGACAGAGGCTCTACTGGCCCCAAAACCAAGGCCAATCCCTGAATCATTATTTTAGCTTCAGAAGGGAACATTGAACGGTCACCTGGTTCAATGACCTCATTTTCTGTTGAAGACACTGAGACTGGGATAGGACAAGTGACTCTTATAGATGGGGTTATCACTCCCCAGTTCCTTACTTTCCTCCATGCCCTTTGCCTGGTGACTCTGCTGTTCTTTCCACTGGAGCAGGTGGAGTATATTGCCCCCATTCTACTGATGGCAGGCGTGGCTGACGGAATGTAGGTGGAAGTCACCGCCAAGGCCCTAGGAGGCACGTTGTTTCCACTTGCCCTTGTGCATTCCAATGATCCACCATGAGAAGGGCATTCCCCAGGCAGCCAGTGGTCCAGGAAAACGGGCAAACACATGGAGTAGACGCGAACCCCCACCTGCTGCCTGAATCAATAGCTGCTCAGCCAGTATCTGCTGAGATTAGTCCAACCATAGTCAACCTGCAGACATATATATGAGCAGCCAGATGAATGCTAGTGATTCTAAAACACTGAGTTTAGGGGTGGTTTGTTATGCAGCTTATGGCTGCAACAGCTGACTGATAGTTACTGGCTGAAACCCCAACCCATATTCCCCCTCTGGCTGAGAGTATTTTTCTCTATACAGAGATCTAGCACTGCTGTGGGGTCCTCAATGCACTTACCATCCATACCATCATGTAGGAAAATGCTGCGATCCATAGCGTGGAGGAAGCAAATGTCACCATGAACCACTTTTCCCAGCGGGGCTTGTTGCAGTTGGGTACAGTGAAGTATAAAACAAAACTCAGGGGCCAGGTGAATGCCCATTTCACTGTTTCCAGTTTGCCAGCTGGGGGAATAAAAAAGGCAAAAAAACAAACAAAAAAACCCAGTTAGCTTCATTTCTCTGCTCTACCAGCCCTCCGCACTGCTTTTCCCAGTCATTTGCATCCTAACTGATGGCCTGTGAAATAAAACTTACTATGTTGCTCTTTTCCTAAAAGACTCAAATGGCTTTCCACTACCAACAAACCTTATGTTCAAAACCAAGCGGAATAAAAAGTTATCCACTGCCCACCTGCAAGTTAGGCCTCCAAAATGACAGGATGAATCACTTCAGAGTAATACAAGGCTAAGGGGGACGGCTTGGCAAATGGGGCCAGGTGGGAAGGATGAGCAAGGTTCTCAGGACACCGAGGGGCGGGGGGGGNGCCTGTGCGCGGGGCTCCTCCGGCTGGAATCCTCTTCCCCCAGCAATCTGTGCAGCTGACTCCCCTTCCTGAACCCTGGGGGGAGTGGCAGTGGGGGAGGGGAACTAGGAAGACCACCAGTCGGCCTCTGCTGTGTTCTCCCCATGGATAGGTCTCTACAGCTTTTCAGATTATAAGGCATCAGTAGTCACAGCGCCATCTCGCGGAATTCCTCAGCATCATCTGTCAACACACTGCAATTTTGAAAGATGATTTGAAAGCTCTCAAGGCTGTAATAATACTGCTTCAATGTTTGTATCTCAAACTGATATGGATTTGCATGTGAATAATTGCTTTCTGGCTCTCTACCTGCTGCCATGGATGAGATAATGGATTTGTCAGTGATGACCTGACCTTACCATCTCTGCGCTGCCTGATGCTATGATTCAGAGACACCCATACATGCTTATTTTGGTGACCATATGACCATGAGTTCCTTGTAGCCTCAGATTTAAAAAACATATTAGTTTTCCTTTGACTTTTATTACCATCCTGCTTAAGTGCTTACTCACCTCTGGAAAGAAATATGCATACACAAAGGTACTCCCTTCTTCAGTCAAGATCTCCAACTTTCAGAAAGTTCTCCGGGCCTCTTTCTAGTCACCCTCCCATCTGCTACCACCATAGATGAATTTTTCTGTTCTCAAACTTCAAATAAATGAAATCATATGGTATGTTTTTATGTCTACCTTCTTTCATTCAACATATATTTTTGTGATTCATTCATGTGTCAGTGATTCATTCCTTTTAACTGTTGTGGAGTGCTCCATCCCGTGAATTCACTACAGCTTATTTATCCATTCTGCTGCGACTGGGAATTTGGGTTGTTGCCAGTTTTCAGGTATTATAACTGAAGTGGCTATGGACATTCTTATACAAGTCTTTTGTGGCATGTTTTCATTTATCTTGGGCAAAGATCCAGGAGTAGAATTGCTGAGTCATAGGGTGGGTGTTTACTTAACTTTATTAAGAAACTGCCAAGCAGTTTTCTAAAATGATTGTACCAATTTATATTCCTACCAGAGTTAAAAAGATATTTTTTTAAGTTACATTTTGAACAATGATTAATGAAATATTTAACAAAATTTATTTCATAATTTCATACCAGTATCCAGCACTTATTTCATTATATCTCTTACCAGTCTCTAAATAGTTTCTTAAATCTGCAAAGTTATACAACATCACTTTGGGCTCCCTGGTCTTCCTCAGATAGGAAGGCAGGGTAGTCACTAGGAGGAGAATGGGGCTTACTCATCAGACAGCGCTGGGTCCAGTGCCTGCTGTTTGAGTCGAGTGGCTCAGTTACTTAAATTCCCTAAGCCTCAGTTTCCCCATCTGTAAAACGTGGACACAACAACACTGAGTTCACAGAGTAGCTGGGAGAATTATATGCGATATTAGGCTGGAATTGGGACAACCAACGTAAGTTTGCAAATTGGTGGAGTCAAAATCTTCAGATTCACTCTTGGCTTTCCCCATTCTTTCACCCCCCACACCAGCTCTGGAACCTTCCCAGGGCACTCTCAATTCATCTGCAGCTCTCTTCCTACAGCCTCACCCTGGGCCAGGTCCTCCATCCTCCATGACCTGGCTTACTATGGGGACTCGCTGCTCTTTCATTTGCCCCACCTCCATCTGCTCATCACCAGTAGTCAGACGGAGAGTCTCAAAAAGCAAACTGTTATAGAACCTTCTACTGGCTACTACTACCCTCAGAATTAAACCATATCTCCCCACCATGGCTGACAAAGCCATAATTGACTTGACTCCCGCCTACCACTCTCCCTACTTATATACTCCCCTGCCTCAGCCTCCTCTCTGTCTCAGACACCCCAAGCCTTTTTCTGCCTCAGGGCCTTTCCATTTGCAGTTCCCTCTGCCTGGATCTTCACATGGCTGAGCATGCTCTGTCATGCAGCTTACATCACAGCTCAAATGTCACCTGACCGCTCAGATCACCCAATCTAAATAAGACCCCCACCTACTCCACTTCTTTCTTTCCCATCACCTGCATTAATTTGCTTTATAGCACGTGTTTCCTTTCTGAACTTATCAGGCTTATTTGTTTCCTCATTAATTTTCAGTTGCCCCCAAACTAGAACAGAAACTCTATACGAATGAGTATTTTCTCTACTTTGTTCACCACTGTTTTGAATGCCATGAACAGTGCAGGGCATATATCACATGCTCAATAAGCATTAACATTATTAACATTAATAACATTACTATGAATAATCTAACCAGACAGACTAAAGAAAAATATGTGCTTTTTTTAAGAGTCTAAAGGTATCCCACTTCAGGTGCAGAATAAAGCAAAGATGACAAATTATTAAGAAAGGGAAAGCCTGTCTTTTCCTCTTAGCAGCTAAATGCCTTGTTAGATTTAAGATTTGGAGATGGTAAAGTGAATGATGAGAGCATTGAGACTGTGTTTGGCTGGATTACAAAGCAAGAAGACAGAGTTATTTTGTGAGGGAAAAATGCTGCAGACTCCAGAATATGGCCAGATCTTTGGATTCCAAATGCATCCTGGAATCCTGCACATTCCTAAATCCTTTAATGTGGTAGTAAGTCACTTATCCATGTGGGGCTTTCAGTATCTCCTTACTGGCTGTCCAGTCTTCCAAATGCCCTCACAGTAAGAGAGAGAGAGATTTGTTTGGTTTAAGATACACACTCAATCAAAGTTACAAAGAAATACATGAATGAGAAGAGAAATGACTTCAATTTGGCTATTTGTCATTCTTCAGAAAATAACAAAGAAGAGAAACAAAGTCAGGACTTATGACTGCAAGGGCTCAGAAAATACTAATTAGGTGAAGTTGCAAACAGTATAAGTTAGCACCAGTGAGTTTTGAGGTTTTTGTCTTAGCTGAGAAAATTCTGACTTCGCACTGGGAGAACATTATATCTTGAAACCACTCTTCACTGTCATTACAAATGATATAGATGCTTTCTTTGAGTTATAGTTCCACTGTAACAACAACAAACAAAGTAGAAATTCAATGAGTATCATCTGGAATACATCTTTAAATGTAATATAACAAATACAACTTCTTGAACAAACCAAGTAATGCAGAAATGTGATTTTTCAATGATTTTGAGGAGCAGGAGCAGCCAGATAAGGCTCGTTAACATTTTAGCTAGTCTGAATTTCCATTTCTGAGTAAAGGAGTAAAAATCATCTTCTTTCCTCTTTGAGTAAACAGTATGTCTGGGCATTTCTCTATCTTTTGTTCCATTGCCATATGGTCTAAATAGAGACCCCCTGGAGATAGATTTATTCATTAATTTAACAAATAGTCACTGAACTCCCACAATGCTCTCTGTGCCTGGCACTGTCCCAGGTGCTGAGAACACAGCAGCACGGTAAGAAAACAAAACTCCCTGCATGTATGTGAACCTGATATATTGGTGATTATGTGATTTCTCGAGAGGCATCCAGCAAATGGGAGATGAGGCAGTGGACGTGAGCCAGGGACTCTGAGCACTAGAGTGTCCCTTTGAGTATGACCAGCTCTAAAAAGCAAAGGACTTGTTCCCAAGTTACATTTCTTATTAAGCTTTCTAGGAAGCTTAATTCTATTGGATAGAGAAGAAGTCACTGCTCAGTATTTTAGACCTAGAACTAGATATATAAACTTGTTCTAATTATATACACAATAAAAAAGTACATTGTTTAAAAATGGAAAATAATTCCATCTAGGATAAACATGTTTATATTTTGGTGTATTTATTTTCAGCCTTTTTTCTATGAAAGTGTGCTTATCTACATACACATGTAAATGTTTTTCTTTGTCAGTCCACAGTAAAGCTTACTTCACACAAGTGATAAGAAAATATGTACCATTTATATGGATGTATACATATACATATACACTGTGCATAGGTGTATATTATATAACCTATACATATATAATATGCATGTATAAAAACAGGTATGTTAATATATATGTGTATATTATATAATACATGATGTATTAAATATGTATAAAGCATGTATAAATATGTACATTAATAGGCAAAATAGTAAATGTATATAGTACATATACAAACATTATATGTGTACATTATATCAATCATACATGTGCACACATATATATGCACATACACCTATGTTCATGCATACACATATAGACATATCATATATATTCTTATATTTACATACTCCCACATAATTACTTATCTGTTCATTACACCCACCACAGTCAAATCCTGAAGAGAAGGAAGCCCTGTAGCTTGGTGACAGGAACACAGGGAGACCAGACCCTTGCAGGATTACCTCAAGAGGGAAAAAATGTCCTCATAGTGTAGACAGACCTTTTTCAGGCCAAAGAAATTTAGCATGAGAGGGACCCAATCCAGGGCTCAAGGGAGTGAGTCCTCCCTGCTCCTCGAGTGCCCTCTGCTGGCCCGAGGCACCCCCTGGCCTACTCCCCACTCCTAGGAGGCTGCCTGCCCAGGGGACGGCTTGACTGGACATTCAGCACCCCCATGGGGAAGTTCCTGAGTCCAGGAATGGGGTTTCTCAGCAGCTGGTGGAGGAACCCAGAGGGACATAACTAGACAAGCCCATTCTCCATTTCAGAGGTAGGATCTTGTTCTGAAGTAGGCTCCCCTAACTCCAAGGAGAACCGTGAAGATTGTTGGTGTGACTCCAGGCCTCCAGGCCCCTCGCCACCCCAGGTGGCCCATGGACCAGCAGAATTGGCATCACCTGGGGGAATGTGTGAAACGCAGAATCTTGGGGCCCACCTGGACCTCCTGAATCAAAATCTGCATTTTATCAAGAAACTCAGGTAAGAAGGGCAGGTATAGAGGAACTTGGGATTCTGTTTCCTGTCTCAGCAGCTCGGGGCCCTGGGATGATGCAGAAACCCAACAGGTAGAGGCAGAACTGAGCAGAGTACCACTTCTCCTCTTGGGCCTGTGCTTCTGAAAGATGCAGAGGGCCTGAGGTGGGGTTCCTGAGTCCACACCTATAACCAGCCACGTCTCCTAAAATATTAGGAGATAAGACGATGTGGCTGGGAGCCCTGGTGCTTTCTCACCTGCACCCCAACCCAGAGATGAGGTGATACCTTGAAAGCTCACAGTCAGGCCTGGCATTTATCTCATCCAGTGAAATATGAAACAAGTGACCTGAAGGAGGCCCTTTTGTCCCACTAATTAATGAGGTCACGTGTGGGAGCCAGACAACATGTCTGTTCTCACACATGTGTCTTTAGTTGTCTGCCTAGAGGGGTGCACTTAGGGTTTTTGGGCTACTGGGAGGCCAATACAGCACCTGACCCCACTGCTTCCTTAATCAGTGAATAACTTTAGCAAAATGAGCATTTCTGGAGCTTGGTAATGGGCTGCCAATGGTGGACTCTGAAACAAAGGCTGGGGGAAGCAGAATTATAGATGTGGGCCCAAGATTCTGTGCCCCAATTCTCAGAGCCTGTGAGGAAGGAGGACTTTCAGTCCTGTGACTGTGCTATGCTATATGGCAGAGCTGAACTCCAGATGGGCAGGTTATGATCTATCACAGGAGCCCTCACAAGCAGAAAGGACAGCCAGGGAGATTAGAAATGTGACGAGAACCTGACACACTGCTGCTGGTTTGAAGATGGAGGGGCCATGAGACAAGAAATGGGGATGGCCTGTAGGAGCAGTGAGCAACCCTCGGTCACAGCCAGCAGGGAAACAGAAATCAGCTGTACAACCACAAGGAGCCAACTTCTGCAGCAACCTGAATGTGCTTGGGGATGGTTTTCCCAGGGCCTCTGGGAAGAACTGCTGCCCTGCTCACACCTCCATTATAGCTTGTTAGCCTCTGAAAACCCAGCCAGGCTGTGCTGGACTTCTGACCTGCAGAACTGGGAGCTCTTCAACAGGCGTGGTTTTAAGCCACTAAATCTGTGGAAATCTGTTGCGCATAAACAGACAATGAACATAAGAGTTTACAAGGGAGGAATGCAGTGTCTGGTCATTTAATCCTTAAAATGTTTTTGTCCTGGATGATAGGCAAGAAGGTTGCCATGAAATACAGAGACAAGTGGCAAAAAAGATCAAGAGCTGGTATACTTTCTTCTATCAAGATTACCTACTTAACAAGTAATGACTTAACTGTGGCTAGGCAGTTCGGGAGTTTGGGGTATAGGAATCTGGGTGATGTTTTCTAGTTAGTTTTGGTAAGCACTTGACCAGGTTGAGATTGCAGGAGCCCTGAAGAAATCCAGGAGAAGTTCTGGTCTGAGTTTTACTAGCTGTCTTTTGGACACAAAAAGGAACACAGAAAAACCTTGCATCTGAAAATGAAACCCAATCCTGACACTCTGCACCCACGTCCCACCATTAACTGACTTTTCAAGAGTACCAAGCAATCCTGTCTCAGAATGTATAGTCCTCCTGTAAATTCATACTTCCTGGAGAAGTTGCATATATTAATTAAGCCTCACACTTGACAGTGAATGTGAATTAGACCGGTGCACTCTTTCCTGAAATAGCCAGAAGCTTCTAGAAGGTCTAGCAAATAGGCAGAATTCTTTTGGCATGGTCTACCTGCTCCACTAATGGGTGGGTGTGGGAGACAAGGTCGCTGGAAATGCCAAGTCTTTGTTGGAGGTAGCAGTCAGGGGAGAAGGACACCAACCACCCTGGTAGCTGAGGTCCTGAAAGCTCTTACAAGCCTTGCTCCTCCCCTTAGAGGCACCATGGAGATTCCCTTGGCTGCCCTACTGTGTGAGATTTAAATGGGGCCAGAAAGCTTTTTGCCCAGGTCCACATCTCTTTTGGTGTCCACCCTGCAAACAGCAGGTCCTGGGAGAGCAGGGGCCTGAATGGGGATGAAGAGAAGGAAGTGAAAAGAAAAACAAAGGTCAACTGAGAGGGCTGCCCATGTCACCCAGAGCTGGCCTTGGCAGGATAGCACCTGGCCAACTGTACTGGAATGAGTGAAGTACCTATTCCCATGAACACCAAGCTACTTTGCAGACATGGGTCAGGTGCATTTCCTCCTTAGCACCAAAAGGTCCTGCAGAGCAGCTGAATTTCCTCCACAAAATTATGTATTTGGTCAAAAAGCCCACACTTTAACCAATGAACATGTGTTGCCATCTTGATCATTCCTGGACCTTCTACAGTCTTGCCCATGTAGATGTTAATATAAATATTTTTATGTTCATACAGAGATATTTCTTTCAAATGAATGCCAGAAAGATCATCAAAGTCAAGGGCATCTACTCAGTGGCCTCAAAATAGTTCCCACCCCCAGCCGAGACATAGGACTTCTTACAGGGGGGGTCGAATGGTGTGTATGGTCCTTCGTCCTCCTCCTCATCCTCCTCTTCCTCATCATTCTCGTTGTTCTCATTGTCCTCATTCTCATTTTCTGTCTCGTTGCCAACGTCGGCAACAACATCATCCCTCCGAGTCCCGTTCACGCCCCTGTCTGGGGCACTGCTGGGCCCTGTCCCATTCTCCACGGTGTGTTTAATTGGGATTTTGATGGCCACCTCAGATTCTCCATTGGCATAAGCCCTGCTATTTATCAGTCTTTGTCTCTGGAAAGAGAAAGGCACATTCTTACCACAGTCAGAGGGACTGTAAATCCTTACACCCAGACCACCAGCTGTTAGGATCTTTCTCAGGCGGCTGACAAGGAGATGCTTCCAAAAGACTCTGCAGTCAAATCTTAAGGGATTCCTCAAAGTAACAACCAACTTGGACAACCTCCTTCTGGGAGAAAGGATTAACCTACTGGCACTTGCAAATCCCTTCAGGGGAAAATTCCTGTGTCACAGGTGTGCACTTCCTTTCTGTCAGGGTTCTTGATTCTCTGCACACTGTGGTGTTATCGTTCTTCTCAAGATTGTAGGAATCCCTTGGTGTGCATATGTGAGAAAGCCACACAAATGTGTTTGACTAGTATATCAATAAGGCTGCCACTCCAGAGAAAGGGATACACTGGGAAATTCAGGTCAGAGACTCAGCATTACTTTAAACTAAGGTAACCTAGATTTAGCAACTAGTTCTGTGCCACTTCACATCAGAGGGCTTCATTCAAGTGGAAGATGAAATAAAAAGGGAGGTAGAAAGGGACAGAAGAGTTTTTCCGTCTAACTGGGACCATGTCTCCCGACATGAGGAAGGAAGAACAAGGACAAGGATGCACAGCTGGCCCAGTGAGCAATGATGTTGGGCAATGGCTGAGGGATATGGTATTAAATGTTGGGTTATATGCTTCTACTTCAGACCAGGAAACTTGATCCACTTCCCAAAGTTTCCCACCCCTGTCCAGTGGCAAATGGACTGTGCTTTCCCAGATACCTCATTGATCAACATGCGACTGGCCATGGAGAGTCGGGTCTTGGGGGGAAAGTGGCTGGTGATCATGATTCGGAGGCCAGCCTCAGAGAAAGAAAGCTGGTGTGGGTAGGCCGACAGCAGCTCATCTACCATGATCACTGACGCTTTGCGGTGGAAATTGGCTAGGGGAATTAAAAACACAAAATAAAAATAACATTAAGGCTAGAAGCAGGAAAGAGATATTTATTCAGTCTTCCTATCCTTTCTTTCTCTTCTTCCCTCCCTCCTTCCCTTCCTCCCTTTATTTCCTTCCTTCCTTCCTTCCTTCCTTCCTTCCTTCCTTCCTTCCTTCCTTCCTTCTTTCCTTCCATCCTCCCATCCACCCATCTACCTACCCTTCAAACCATCCATCCATCCATCCATCCATCCATCCATCTTCCCATATTCCCTTCCTCCTTTCCATTCTTCCATCCTTCCTCCTATCTACTCATTTATCCATCCATCTACTCACCCCGCCCATCCATTCATCTGTTAATTCATCCATCCATCCTCTCATCTACCCATCTATCTTTCCTGCCTGCCATCCATCCATCCATCCATCCATCCATCCATCCATCCATCCACCCATCCATGCATCCAAAGTGAGCAAAATTTGGAGGAGTAAAAAATCTGCTTTCTAGGGCTGGCCGAGTGGCTCAGTTGGTTAAGAGCTCGCACAAGAGTTTGAGCTCTGAGCAACAGCAGTTCGAGTTCAGCCCGAGCTGAGCAGCCGCTGAGCTGCCAACAGGTAGCAGGATGGCTCAGCTTAAAAAAAAAAATCTGCTTTCTGCAGGACTCATCAATAGCTCTTTTGAAATGACTTGAAACAATTCAAGCATCATTCACTGACATGGAAATAATGAGTGATAACATAAGAGAATTCCTCCTCGTCTTCAAAGGATTCTTTCCCACCACTCAGATCTGGGGCATAGGAAAAAAAACCCATAGTCTTTCATAACCTTTTATGCCCTTCAACTGTCAACAATGTTCATATCGAGCTGTTAAAAGCTGCAGAATTGACTTTATTGTCAAGTGAAGGACACGGTGGGGAAAAGTACACATTGTAGCAGCCCCACCTATGGGCAGGATGACAATGGGGTGGGTGGGTGAGCTGGCCACACTACAGATGCCCAAGATCCAGAGGGGGCTTAGGGCAACCTTGTGTAACGATTTGCTGGCAGGCCTGAACAGAAAGTTTCCCCAAGGCCCAAGTACCCTCTCTATGAATGTGCAACATGAGAACATAGCTCATAGGTACCTGGCCACAGACCCTCTTGAGCTCCCTCTTGTTTTCCAAGCCACTAAACTGTGAAATGATCTCTGGAAACGCTGGTGAATACTAGGTAGCTCCATTTGCTTCCCTGAGAGTATTCCTTTTATGGTTATAAACTACCCAGAAGAGAAGAAACTAAATGAAATCCTTATGTGGGATGGCACTGAATACTCTTAAGTCTTTAGTTAAACATGCATATAATTAGAAAAATATACCAAATAATTGATTTTCAAGTTCTAATAATTACCCACAGATTTTGAAGTCAGACATTATTTGAAAATAATCTATAGATTTTATAATTTCTTTTTTGTTTTTCCTGCAAAGCAACCATATGGGACCAAGGAGAAATAAACTCATACATTTCAAGGGGAAAGTTAAAAAAAATTAAATGAAAAATGAAACACATTTTAGGCAAAAGTAAATGATAATTATTGTGTTCCTCTAAGAAAGAATATATTTATTAGAGAGTATTATATTAGTTCTCTTAGTATATCAACTGTTTAATAAGAATCTATTGAATATAAGAATTACTTTAAATAAAGAAAAGGTAACTTTCTGATATAAAATGATATAAAATATATTATATTACATATAATAATATAGTAATAACAACTATCATTAATGAAGTATTTTATATACTTTATCTCCTTTAGTCATTAAAAAAATTATCCCCATTTTGCAGAAGAGAAAATTGAGGCTCAGAGCAGTTAAGTAATTGCTTTATGGTCACACAGCCAAAATGTGACAGCATCAATCCCTCAAAACCCATGGTCTTCTCTCCTTTACTATCCTGTCCTAATTTTCTGGTAACACTCCCAGCAAATGTTCTACCCAAGAACTTGCATAGGGCTTTCTGAGTTGGCACATCATCAGGTATGAGACTGCCCCATGGTGTAGCCAAAGGGAGGGAGTGAGGACTGGAACCTTCTCTCCCTTAGAGAGGCAGCATCTTCTCCAGGCCAGCTGTGGAACCCCATGTGTGGCCATGAGCGAGGGCAGCCGAGTTGGCTTCTTAGCACTTCCTTCCTGGACACAGGCTCTCCTTGGTTACCTTTCTTGAGTAGCACCACAGTTGCGTCACAGTTGCTGCTGTCATCAATTTCAGCATTGTTGGCCAAGCCGTTAACCATGTTTCCAGCACCTTTTGTCCTCCTTTCAAAGCACTGATGTATGCAAGCATTATATCTGAGCAAAGGAATAAGTGGAGAGAGCCCATCAGCATTTGCTGTTGCTCCATTCCCCACCTCCCGTCGAATTTCCCTGCAGTTCTCTCAGTTTGGATGCATTGTGGGGGATCCCACGCCTCAAGTTATTATTATAATTTTGTCATCCCATTTCCCCTCAGAATATATATACTGTCCTATTTTCCAATTTAAAGATATATGGCATGTGAAAATAAAACCAACATTAAGTAACACACTGCTTTCTTCGCAACCTCCTCAATGCCAATGGAGGCACCTCCGGGATGGAGTTTCCTGACTTGAAGTCTGTGCATGGAAGGACAGTGATAAGACTCAGTGGGATGGGCAAGGTCTACCACCTCCAGGGCCTTTGCTGTCAGGTACAAGCTTGGTGGGGGAAGGAAAAGGTATCTCTTCCATGCTGCTACCTGGTGCTCGTGGCCTATGTGTTACAGGCTAGCTGGCAGTCTAGGTCTCTGTCTGTCTTTGGTTTCCTGAGGTCACAGGTTGAGATCTTTTGAATCTATTACTGTTATGCTATACTTCCAGGTCCAATGGGTTCTTGTCTTTGTGAAAAACTATGGGCTATGATTCTCCAGAACGATTGAGTAAAAACATTGTGCAGTGCTTCTTACAAGTGTGTTGGAGGGAAAAAGCTTGCACAAGTTCCTAGGATGTTTCTGGCAGGGAAGTATTCTGGTCCTTTAATCTTTAGTATTAGAAGACGCCCATAGAGGAATCCTAGAGAACGCAGGGGCAAAGACAGCCGGCAGGGTTTCCGGGCATTGTAGGACACTGCTGCTTTTCCCACACTCACAAACTTAAGGGCCTCAGTGACTTCCTGGCCATGGAACACCCCACAGAGGTGTCCCACAAGCTTGATCTCTGGCCTCCCATTAGAACAGTAGCCAGATATGGTGACTCTAAATCACCAGCTAGCAGGCCACTCAAGCTGTGCTTCACCACACAAGCTTCTCTTCCTCATCCCCTTTGTGCTATAGACAAGAGGCTCTCAGGAGTCCCTTCCCACTGTATCATATTCCTGTTCTTCAGTCAGTGCAGCTCTGGGTGGGTGGTTCTACGGGACATGACCGCCATTTTGGTACAGAGAGAGGGGCCCTCTGTGACTTGGACTCCTCTTCAATGAGTACTTCCTGTAGTCTTTAGGAGCATGTGGTTCTTCCTACATTGCATTAGGGAGAACAGAAAACTAGTCAAACGTGATGATGGTAGCCCCCACTCCTGGGAGATGCTCAGGGCTTATAAGAGGAAGGAAATAGAATTGGAACATCACTATTTTTCAACTCTAAATAAGTAATGGAGTCAGATTTTGAGCATCAGTGGATGCCAACATCAGAAATAGAGAGACAGGAGATGTGCATGTGCTTGTTGATGGCAGAATTCACCACCACTTGGGACACAGTCTAACCTGAATCGGATCTACGGCTGACATATAGGAAACACAGAGGCCAAAGGAACAGGCCTCACCACACCACGGGATGTAGTCAACAATTTCTGAACTGTGGGGAAGTCTGTGGAGTAAACAATCCAACTTTGTTGAATAATAAATTGAAAGAAAAAAAGAGGGGGAATTTATAGATTAAAAGAGATCCAAAAGAGGGAGCAACCAATTGTAATGAGTGGAATTTATTTGGATTCTGATTTTTAAAATATTTATGACATTTATGAGACTAAAATAAAACTGTAAAAAATGACATTTATGAAACCCTTAAAAATTTGAACATTGATTCTACATTCAATTATACTGAAGAATTAACATTAATTTTACGTGTGAGAAATAATGATGTGGTTATGTTAAAAATGACCCCTTTTAGAGACATACACTGAGATTTTTATAGATGAATTGGCATGATATCTGGGGCTTCAAATTATATGAAGGGAGGACAATGGATGGGGTGTGAATGGAACCATTAGGGGTTGATAGTGGTTAGGGCTGGTAATGAGCATGTGAGATTTATCACACTATTCTGTTGACTTTTGTATATATTCAACATTCCTTTTAATGAAAAGTCTCCCCACTTCCTAGACTCAACAAGAATGTCTTGCCTTATTGATAGAGCTATGCAAGAGGGGCAGTGCTGCTGTCCTCTTGGACTCCAAATCTAGTTTCCCCATAGAAATACTGATTTGCATGAGGGTTTGCTTTTAAAGTACAACTGTGTGTTATATATTTATTTGGATTTGGATAACAAGATAATAATACAATGTATGTATGATTATGAGAACATTCTTGAAACCAGATATGGGTTAATAACTATGCTGTCACATTCCATCCTTACAAACAAAACAAAACAAAAACAAACAAACAAACAAAACACCTTTGGGGTAGGAATTATTATTAACCCTGTTTTGTAGAAGACAAAACTAAGATTCAAAATGGCTGAGTAGCTTGGCCAAGGTCCCACTGCCAGTAAGTGGCAGGGTGGGATGTGTATCCAGGGCTTAATGTGAAGTACTTGATCTTAACCAGATCATACTGCCTCATCTAAACACCAAATCCCAAAGAAGCGACCCAGATGTACAGAAATCAGTCCTCACCAAGGCCAGGTGTGCCTCATGCTCCCTTAAGGCTCCTGGCCACACTGAAATTGCTTTTTGACTTTCAGACAGAATGTTTAAAGTCATTTTAAAGCCATCTACCCAGGAAGCAGCTGACGCTTCTAATGTATGCTGTTTTTAACTGCCACTGCTCTGTTTTATATTTTTAATTGAATGTTTTAAATTTTGTGCTTGCACCCTGAAGCTATTTTATTATGAAGCATGCAATTTTATAAATCAGATTTTATAAAACCCAATGATTAAAGCTTCTGATTGCAGAGGGGGATGGCTAAAGAGCAGAGATTTCAATTTAGAACTTAGGATCGGAATTTGTGTAGAAAATTCCACGAGCACAGTAGCTGCCATTCCCTGTTTTATTTGTATCCTGCTGGTTTGAACAGCTGGAAGGTTGGTATAGCTGAGGCATCAGCAGAAACGTATCTCATTAGTTTTCACACTGGGTATGATTTGGAGGAGAGGAGAGAAATTGTTCACTGTGTTATCTTAACGTCCACATGCCTGTAACTCATGGGCTTTACGATGGCTCTGTAGAGGGGTGCAGTGATCATAGGATGCATACAGCAAAATCCCTCAATCCACCTTCCCTTTAGACCAGCCCTGGTTTTGAAGACCTCCTTATTCTGTGAAGCCCCTACTGAATTCAGTATGGGACATGCTTTCATCTAAATTTAGATTCAAAATCCAAGATCAATGCTGGGCATATATAGCAGAAACTCAGTCAATTCTTTGGAATAATTGACTGATCCACCTTTTCAAAAGGAAAGAAAAGGACTCTTGACTCTTTGGGAACTCAAACTTAGAGCCTCAGAAAGCCACAAAAAGGTGAAATTACCAAACAAAAACACTGAAGGAAGATGTGTATTGTTGAGGCTCTCCCACTGTGGCACTGATTCCTATTCTAATAGTTTTGCTATTTGAGAGAAAGAGGACCAAGATGGCTGTTCCCATCTTTAAAAGCTTTTCCTTTGTAGTCTAGAAATGTTGGAAAGGCTTTGGGCCAAGTCTGGTTTTTGTGGGAGCCCATCTGTTGATATTTTTAAATGGAAGGTGATTGATTAGTGGTAAAAGCACCTGATTTCTTCATGTGTTATCTCACAGTAACTCCACACCAGGATACTCTAGAAATTCCTTCCTGTAGTGACAAGACCCAGATATTGGGTCTACACTGACCACTGGACAGCTCCTGAGTTGAAAGCTGGACTCTGCTGAGTGGATTGCGGTGGACAGCTTACAGTCCACCCTGGACATCAGCCAAGCCAGCTCCTACCCTCATTGTTCACATGACCTTTGCCAAAGGCCAAACTGATTTCTCTCCACAGGGCTCTCAGCCACTAGTGGCCAGAATTAATGTTTGTCAGGCCTCACAGCAAGGAAAACTTGACATGCAATTCCAGACTTCTACTTGATATGTCTAAACTAGTAATTTCTGATTGTGTTTTACTTTCTTGCCCTCTGAGATGGTAGTCACTCTTACAGTCACATATGCTGGGGAAAGTATGGGCTAATTTAGAGTAAAAGAAGCAGCTCCCACGGGGGCTGACAGATGCAGCATGGTATGTCTCTGCACTATTTATAAGCTCCTCATCTCAATGGTACTTGGCAAGAAGATAAACCAGCAGGTTCACAACCATGGTGCTTACACTTTACCTTTCAGTATGGGAAGCATCTGCAGTATAATTCTTGATACAAATAGTAAGCTGCCCAGACCCCAAGGGGAAAAGGAACATATGATGTGGTGGTTTTAAAGTATATCCACAAATTCTTTGACACTCCTCCCTTCAAAAGATAAAGGAGGACCGGCTGAGTGGTGCGATGGTTAAGAACTGGCTTGGGACGCCAGAGGGCCCCGGTTCGGATCCCACATATGAGGGCCAGTGACACTGCCCTGCCCTCCACAGCTAAGATGCTGAACAACAGTTCAACCTGGAGCTGAGCTGCCGTGAGTTGCCGGCGACGGCGTGGGCTGCAGCCCCTGTGGCAGTGGGTTGCCATGGGCTACCGTATGTAGCCAGCAGCCGCAGTGAGCGGCCGTCCAGAAGCCAGCGACTGATGTGCCTCGCCCAGGAAGAGTGCAATGATGGTGCCAACTTGGGTCAGTGAAGCAACGTCCTCCACAACTAGACTGAAGAACAAAACGACAGCAACTTGTCTGTTCCCCTTCCCCCAATTCCCCAGCACTGTTCCCATCCCCCCAATTCCCCAATAAAAATCTTTTTAAAAAAATGATAAAGGAGACTTCTTGAGTGTGGACTGGCCTTAGTGACTCGCTTCTAATAAACAAACTATGATAGAAGTGACAGTGAGTGACTTGTGAGACTAGATTATAAAAGGCACGGCACAGTCCTTCTTGCTCTTTTGAAACACCTACTCTGGAGGAAGCCAGCTCCCATGTATGGCGACACTCAAGGAGCCCTAAGGAAGGGCCCATGTGGTGAGGAACTGAAGCCTCCAACCAACAGCTAGCATCAACTCACCAATCGGCAAGTGGGCCATTTTGGAGTACCAGTCAGGTAGATGATGGCCAACCTGTTACCTGCAATCTCAGGAAAGACCCTGAGCTAGGACCCAATAGTTGAGCTGCTTCTGGATGCCTCTCAGAAACCGTAGGAGATAATATTGAGTTGTTGGAAAAGTCATGACGCATTTTTGAAAAAAAAACAGAAAAATATGTCATGACTTTTCCGACAACCCAATACATGTTTGTGGTTTTAAGTGACTAAGTTTTGGGGTCATTTGTTACACAGCCATAGATAACCATATGAATATGGTTATTTTTTGAAGTCTGCAGATATTTGATCCATGATTTTAGTTATCTCTTAACTAGCTCTGGTGCCATCTTCCCTCACTCTATATAGAAGCATAAATTTTTACCTTCTTTCTTGTTATGAAAGAGAGTGAAGAAACAGCCAAAAGCTAGGTTGCCAGGTCTTGAAGAGGTCTTTCTCTTGAGAGATTTCTCAAATCAAGCATTGAAGCTTTGGTTCTATCTTCACATATGGGTTGGCAGGATCTTTGCTATTGCTACTAATCAAAGCTGTAGTGATTCATACATAGCAGGTTGCTGAGGGAGCCAAATGAGTCTGTGATGGTATGCATCAAAAGCCAGCCAGATACATCTGCCCTTTCCCATGTTCCCTTTTCCACATGATCACATAATGTTGAATGTAGGAAATGGTTTTGGAAAAGAAGCTAAGAAGATATTTTACTTACTTCATGATGACAATGTAGATAAGATACATCAGCACAAGGACTAAAGACTCCCACCTGTGTACAAAAAAACAAGAAAAAGCTAGTTAAAGAAAGTTACCACCGGCAGACATGCAACACACCAGCCTATCTTTAAAAACATATTTGATATGAACAGCAGTTAAACCTGCCAATCATGGTGAGGATAAGGCAGATGTACAGACTAGTTACAAATATTTCCTGGTCTATAGACATTTTTCTATGCGGCATACAGCTTTCAATGAATTTTCTCTTCCTTCTCTACTTAAAAGGAAAATGCTTCCTCTGTTATTCATTCACCCTAAAGAGTTCTTTAAATGTGGCAAGCCTTCCATAATATTGCTCAATATAAGCTTATATATATAAATATGTTCACAGGTTAATCATTCACTAAAACTACTTAAATATATTTACAAAGGGCAAATGAGAGAAATTGATAGGGTCAACTGAGGGATTGTTGGATACATAGAAGCAAGGCATAAGTAGAAAGAAAGAGAAAGAGGAAGAGAGAGAGGAAGATGAGAGAGAGGAGAGAGAGAGAGAGAGAGAGAGAGAGAGAGAGAGAGAGAGAGGGAGAGGGAGAGAATGAACACCTGGAAGGGAAGGTGCCAACTGGAAAGATAAGAATGAATGAGTGGGTAAATGATCAAGAGAAAGAAAGAAAAAATAATGAAACCCACTGGAATGTACCTTGAACTTCTGATAATTTGAATACTTTTATTTTATTTTAGTAACTTCTAGCTAAAAAATAAGGAAACTTCATTTCTAGGTTTCCTTTTGCCTGTAGTTAACTAACTGAAGGTATAATTTTGTATTCTAGAAAAGTTTACTAGAAAATGGTCTATGAAGAAATTCCAGGTTATGCCTTTCCTTCCTTTTGTTCTTTTCAATTTCCATGTCTAGAAATTGATTCTAGGGAAATAGGCGGTCAAATATAAAAAGGATGTGCATATAAGAGTTTTTGTTGCAGTGGTGTTTATAAAAGTGAAGTGTTGGAAAGAAGCAAGATGGTTATAAGATGGAGGACTCGGTACGTAAGTTATGATAAGTATGTACATACAATGGGCTACCACAAATTGGTTAAGATTGATTATGCAAATATGTATTTATCTATTATAAGAAGTGCTTGTGATGCTACTGAGAGAAAAAAAATCAAGGTGTCCAAACCTCTCAAACTTCTGCCACATTTCTTGGTTTCTCTCTTAGCAAACCTTCTCAAAAGGTTGCATACACTCCATTCTAGCACCTCCCATTCTCTTGGCAAATTTCTCTAGTCTTAACTCCTATATCCATTGATCACCTGAAACTCTTGTCCAGGGACCTGCGTCATCCATCTACACAATTCCAGGGATGGTTCCTGTCATCCTATTCAATTTCTCTGCAGCATCTGAGATTTGACCACCTGCCCTCCTTCATAAAACACTCTCTTCTCCTGACTTCTGAGAGGCCACACTCCTACTTTTCCTCCTGACCTCCTAAGTTAGGAAACAGCTGTGGAATTAGACTGACGTTCCATGCAGAGTTCTAAAATCAAACGGCTTTTCTCCATCTGCCTCTCCTGACCACAGCCCACCCACTATCCTCCTAGGACCCCATCTTGTGGTATGATCTGGGTTTGTTTCTTCCCTTTCTGTAAACTTCTGTTTTGAACCACCTTCAGCTGGCCCAGACTCTCCTGCCAAAGATTGTTCTTCTGGGCAGAGAGCTAGTCTCTGTTCTTGCCTGAGGGCACAGCTGTGCTTTCCTAAACCATGGTCCAAAACAATGAAAGTTGGTCACCAACTTGAGGCAGGTGGATCGTCTCCAGGTCATGTCCCCAAGCGGTCTTTTTTTCTCCCAAAGTCACAACTTGAGGCTCAAAACAGAAATGAAAATCTCACCCTGGGTCCTTTAATTTTCTTGTTAGGCCTTTAGACTCACTGTAGACATAGCCCAAATTCCTTCTGGCAACAACGTGGGCCTTGCTGAGCTGTCATTATGGTTTCATGGGCCTTGCTCTGCTGGCTGAATATACATCCTAATAGGTGGATCTCTGGTGCTTTCTATTTTAAACATCTTTTGGGGCAGGTACCTAACTAAAATATACCCAACAGATATTCCCCTGTCTTTTGCCTGCAAATAGAATCCCACTATGTTGAGGCAGCAAATGGGGACTCCTCAATCACAAGGAGGGTGGGCCCATTACCAGAATAAATAATGATTCATCTAAAGATGTATTTCTAGTTCTATCCCCCCTTGCCATTTATTGGTCAAGGCAGACCCAGCTGCGACCAAAGAGATGTAAGATGGAAAGGTGTTAAATAAAACATTGCCCCTTCTTCCTCCTTTTTGCCTTCAATCCAAACTTGATGGCTGGAACTGTAGCAGCTGTCTTGAGACCATTAAGGAAAAGCCATTAGAGAAATGCAGAGCCGTTGCACCACCTACATTTGGGGTGCTTGTTATGTAACGAAAATGAACCAATATTTCTTTAATTTGCTGTAGCTGGATTCTCCTACTACCTGCTACTAAAAGCCTTCCGACTGCCACTTCTTGGCTGAATATGACTTACTGCAGAATGCCACGTCAGGAACGGTGAAGGAATCTAAACTGTTTGAGAGGTAACTTGTCCTTGTGTATTTGTATCTGACAGGCCCATTTCCTCATAAAGAGTACTCTAGTTTCAAAATAAACACACATGAAATTAGTATCTTTCTGAAGATTTGGGGTAGATTGGTTACCTTCCTTGAAACCGCTAGACATGCTGGAATGTTCTACAACAAAAAATGGAATTCCCTATTTAAGGTATTCCTGAAATATTACCATGCTTTAATTGTACAGATTGAAGAATCTGGCTTTAAAGAAAGAGATCTGAGAAATCAATGCCTAGACACACCCTTTCAACAAGATAAACATTTGTGGTTGGCTGGGTAAAAAGGTACGAGATGTAAACAGCAAAAATATCTTAGAGTTCAATATAGTTTGCATTCAAATAAGGAGCTGAAATCCCTGGAAATCCCAAAGCAGTTATGGGCCAGTGGTGCAGGCTTTAATTTCTCAGCCTCACTCATGTGAAAAATGTTCTCTGTCAGCCCATCCACATAATAACAATAATTACGTACCAAGCTGGCAGCTGGGAATGATGTCTGGTGCCATGAAAGCCTCCCTCTAGTTCTTTCCTGCAGCTATGCCTGTGCGTGAGTTATGATTCCAACCCACCCCAGGCTGAACAAAACATACTGGGGAATTTGCAACTTATTTATCCATGGCCCTCCCATCTCCTTACTCATGTGGGAGCCTAGGCACTCAGGCTCAGGACTCTGATGATCTCAGAATCTGGACCCCTCAGCAAAGGATTGGGGTTCTATCCTCTTGACATCATAGGAGGTTTGGCCTTTGGAATGAAGAGGAAATACACTCTCCCTTTCTTGCTCCATAACATCTGAAATATCCTAAAAATGTTCTGAGAGCAAGGACTGAAATGGGCTTATCATGAATGCTGCTTTCATCTCCTCCTGCCATGGTTTCTATCAGCGAAGTCAGGGAGATGTAGAAAAGAGAGGTCCCTAAGCCTGACAGACAGCGAGCCACCCCTGGATGTCCTTTCTTAAGGCTTCCCACACAAAAACAGCAGACACATTTCTGAGATCAACTGTAATCATAGTTGGTTTGTCTTTATGGCAGTGTGGTTAGCAAAGAATGGCAATATTGGGCAACACATAAGCACCTACTGTTTGCTAAGGCAGAGCAGTGGCTGTGCTAATGGTGCCATCAGTGTGAGTAAAAGTGCTTCTGCAAGTTTTCTTGTGCTGCCCATAAGGCCCAAGGACATTGGGGGAAGTGTCACCACTCCACTTGGAGACCATGTCTAGGTGGATCCCAAGATGTTCTCCCTGACCTCTGACCTCTGACTTGAGTGCTCCTGGGCATCTTGAGCCCTTTCAGCCTGTTGATGAATGTTACTCAAAGAGGATCTCTTATTTTTTTATGGGTGATTACAGAGATTATGTGTCTTAAAGCATATTCTCCCAGCTGTCTCCTCCTCACCCCTCCTACATAGAGGAGAGAAAGAGTTGGCAAAAGTATGTTAATACCCTGGCATAGTGCATAACATTTACCATCAATGTGACTGAGTTCCTCCACCACCCCTAAATTCTGAAAATCAGAGAGATATCCTAAGACACAGAGATGTCACCCTAACAAAGCGTTAGCACTGATTTTGCTGAGAGTGAAGATCAGTGGACTCTGCATTTATTTTCCTAGCTTATTCTTAGCTTCAAATAATGTCGTGGAAGTTGTCTACCTACAATGCCACACCTATCTATTCCTAAAATGTTATTTCATATTACTCTACTTCTACATATCAAATACTTGAAAAAATGTAACAAGAATGCATAACGCACCCAAATTCTATGTCCATTTCAAACATTTGACTTGCTCAGAATCCATTTCAAAAACAGTGATTTGGACAGTTGGCCCAAATGAAAAATACATTTCATTTGGGCAAAAATTTTTTATCTATCCAAAAAAATCACTGATTTTTCAGAACTCTAAGATTTTCTGGAATGTCAGGCAGAACCTTAATGGGTTCAAGGTCACTGAAGTGCCTCTATGTCTGGTTCCTGAGATATACGTGGTGTTTGGAATATGTCCACAAGGTTTGGGCACAATTTGAAAAGATTAGTCAAATCTTAACCATGACCTGGCAAATGGCTGACTGCAGAAAGGCACATCTAAGTCACGCTGTCTAACCTGGATGATGAAGACATCTAGATATTAGGATCCCAAATGGAAGCCTGCCACCCCGGCCCAAGGGAAAAGGTCTCTGCTTTTAATTAAATTAAATTAATTTAATTTCTTTACTGAAATGGACAGTATTCCTGAGAAATGTCAGTTGTTCCAAACTGCCATGATATTTCCCTTTCTTTCTTAAACTCTGACTCTCTGGTCTTCGATATATTTGCTCTGCAACATAACAAGGAACATTGAAAGGGAAAGAGAGGTACTTACCAAGAAACTTGCTCATCATAAATGAACTGTAAAAAAAAATAAAAAGGATAGAAGATTAGACACACACACGTGCATGCATGCACAAACACACATGCTTTATGATTGCATGTTGCCTGCCCTTGTCGCTAGCTTGGTGAGAATCAGGGCTGGGGTTGACCTGGAACACCAAGCACCTGTGGGTAAGCTCCCCTCTGTGCTGGTTTAGCCTGTGTCTAGAGTTAGTGGAAGGAGGTGTGATTGGCCGACTGGGGTAGGCATGATATGGAGGGGAGAAGCATTATGTCATCCCATCCTTCCTGCAATTTATGTTCAGCAGTGGATTGAGAGGGAAGCATAACCAACCTTCTATGTAGAGTAAAACGTATTATAGAATTTTAGGTCTGGAAGGGATTTAGGAGCTTGGTGGGTGCTTCCACACACTAGCCACTATGGCCATCTCTAAGATGTCTGCACATCTCCGTGTACTGTACAGCACCTTCAAGCTTTTATGCAAGCACTTGGACCTATCTGTACTCAACATTTTTTCTTTCAGTTGACCTATATTTTGTGTCTTTAAAAGAATTTATTTTTAAAGGAAATTTTACATCACAATCAGAAGCGGAGAATCAGCACCAGCTGTCACCATGTGTAGAGGGTGAAAAATAAATGTAATAACATCAGTTATTAAAAATCCTGGCTCCCCAGGCCCTGGGCTATAGGTCTGCCCTTTTGTTAAACAAGGAAATTAGTAAGGGTCAGAGCAGTAGAAGACACACAAGTGCCAAACAGAGATTTCCTCTGATCAGTTAGGATCCAAAGAGAATACACAACAGGACTGAAATTATGTATATCATCTAAAATCATTTATCAGAAAACTGGTGTAAGCCACGTCCTTCGATTTATACAGGGAAACAGTTGCAGAGAACATGAGAAATTTTCCTGGGATTGTTCAATTTGCTGTAGAGTTGGTTCTAGAACTTAGGTCTTGCTCTTATGTTCTTTCCATGATACACCTGTTTGCTGAGATGGCGCATTGTTGAAACTAAATAGGTGCACCTGTATTTTATTCAAGCAGGAGACCAGGGCTGGTTCATAACTTTCTTTCTACACTCACGGATATGACTGCTTTGAGTACGATCATGTCTGAGCAGTTTTTTGTTCAGGGGGAGTGGTCCAATGGAAACTCTAAGGCAGAAACTTGCAGGACAATCTGGGCATAAAGTGTCATTACTTCAAGGAGGTGATAAACTCAGATAATGATATGGACAGCATTTCAGTCCCCAGCGATTATAATGACCATCAGTCGTGAGAGACGCAGAGGTAACTGCAAAGACATGTGGGCATGTAAAAGGACCTTCCTCCAGGGAACCTGAAGGTGCAAAGACAAGGATGAGGAGAAAGGGGCCACAGTTATTTGTAACTCGATCTTCCTACTGAGACATTGACAAAGATGTTGGCTTCATCAGTTTTGTGACTCTTGTCATTATCAGATTCAACAGGATGACATTTTGATGCAAATGTCAATCTAGAATGGGAAGAGAATTAAGGGAGTAAAGCAAGCAATCGCTTAACCCAGGCTGGAAGGTATTGGAATCTACTGCCTGGAAGGCATACACACTAGCTTTAAAAAAATGTTGTCAAGAAATCATGGAACAGAACAAATGGATTAAGATGGAAAACATTTTCTATTAATTGAAATTAATTCAATATCAGTCTTGGGCAGTGGGCTGGAACAATCAATTCATAGCCACTTAGGAGAGCATGAGATACTGGTAAAGAGTTTATTAGAGCGCCAATTTAATTTTCGTTTATCAGGGAAGGCAGGCGATTCTCTATAATATGAAAGCAGCTTTTAGAAAGCCCTTATTCTGTGCGATCGGACTGACATGTGGGGGTACAGATCAATACATCTTTAGCTACTGATTATTTCAAGGATCATATCAATGAAAAAAAAATCAGCATGGATGGAACTTCAGGAGCCTGAAGTCCAGGTGATAGCTGTGGCTGGGGAGTTGGGGGTGGGAATATGGCTCAGGGAGGAGGATAAAGAGAAAAGCAGATGATCTTGCTAGAGTACTAACAAATGGTGGCGATTTGGAATCCTTCAAATAACTGACGAAAGTTTGCCTCACTCCTGACCACTCGGAGCCAGGAGGCCTTTGCTCTCCTGTGGCTAACGAGCAAACCCAAAAAGTCTGGGTTTTATCTCACTATTTCAAGAAGATTGGGCGGAAAAATGAGAGGACTCAAAAAAGAACTATGAAAGAGTACCATAAAAGGGACTAGAAACCAGGCCTTTAAGAAAATCTAAATGGAAATTGGCTTGTTTATGGTGAGAAAGGAAGTGGAGGGTGAGTTATGAGCTGCCTCCAAGTGTCTGGTGGTGTAACTTGGAGGAGGCTGACCAGCTGACTGTTACCAATTCAGAAGATTGCAAAAGAGGAAATCGGCACTGTACACAGAATGTTCCTTCAGGGAATACATCACTGGATCATCCTTAGAAAGTGATGGAATCACCCTGTCTGAAAACTCTTAAAATGACAAGGACAGAAGACGGAGTCTCCCACTTGATGTTGCTGATTGTTCAAGGGGATGGATTTGTTATTCCTTACAGATTTTATTTTTTTAAGGATGTGTTATATACTCCTCTGTATTTTCATGCTCTATCTATGAGTAAAAGAAGACAAAACAACTTTCCCCATACCTTACAGCGGTATTACTAGAGTAGGAAACAACCTGAAATCATTTTTAGGCCATCTGAAACAAGAAACCGGGAGCGCCCCAGTTCCACTACATCACCACTAGGTGCCGCCCATGTTCTAGCCCTCTGGCCTGTGTGCTCTGCCAAGGCAGCAAGATTGAAATGAAGTCAGTTCAAGTCCATTTCACAGCTCCATTTAATCTCCTGAAAGGAGGGCAGGCACCTCAAGACAGACAGCCTCCTGAAGGAGCCTTCAGCTAACCCACTGTTGTCCGAGGGCAAGGTGGCGTTCTGGAGGCAGCTCCTGCCTGGTGTTCTGAGTTGAGTTCCTCATTTATGCTAACACTCAATCTGCATGATGTGTTGCAGTCGAGTGACCTGCTGGGTGGCCTTTGGAACTGACCCACCCTTTTCCCAGTCGGGTTTTTGAAAACAGGCCTTGGAAAAGCAGCTCTGTGTGCTGTGCTGGTTGTGTATGGGGCCAGCACTGAGTCTGCCCCCAGTGACCACATGTGGGTGGTGCTGACCGATACCTGGGCCCAGATTTGCTGCTCTCTGACCCAACTGCGGGTCATCCAAAGCTACCTTTGGCTTTGCCAAGAGCTTTGCACGTGTTCCATAGAGTAACTAAATGGGAAGACACAGGAGTGAATTTGAAAAAAAAAAACACAAAAAACTCTTCCTCCAAGGCTTCAGAAAAACGATTGGGTACCATGGAAACGAGCTTTTCGGTCCTGGTGTCTGCTCTAGAATTTTTCCAATAAAGACAGGCTGACATCAGGCAGGTGGATGCGTGGATGTCAGAACATACCAGGGAACTGCTAAGGGAGTGGCACATTCAAGGTGGAACAGCGGGGAAAAAATGAGCCAGGAATCGCCCAGGTGTGTGGGCAGGAGAGGAGAGGTGAGCTGGACTCTGTGCAGGAAGGCAGGTGGCTGTCCCTGAATCGCACGTCTGTCCCTGCGTTTGCTTAGTGTAAGCTGTAACTGTGGAGCAGGGAGACCACATTGCTGAAGCTAAGATTTTGTAGCTTGTACTCTAATCACTGGCACCATTAGAATTTTAAGCAGTGAAAATAATAGGAGAAAATCATCAGCGTCATTCTCTTTCAAGAGGCTGAAACCTTGAAAATCTTCCTTTCCTTGCTGGAAATGAACCCATCCCCCACAGATTTCCCCTCAACAGCATGGAGACTCACGGGAGATGTGCCCAAATGGAATCCTGACGTCCTCAGCTTTGGGGACCAGGGGTGCAGATGGTTTAGCCATGGCAATTCCATCTGAGAAGGAACCAGATGGAATACATCTGGAAAGCTGCTGTTATGCACTGATATGGTTTACACTTGAAGGTTAAATAGGAATTGTGATATTAGGATCTCTGGCAGGCCGACTTGACAGTGGTGGGGGCTGCAGGAGGGTAGAAAGGCGATGAGCCAGAGAGAGGTGAAGGATCGTCTTCAACATGACTCTAAGATGTCTTTTCTCTCACAGAAAGGGCAAGAAAAGAAGATTTCTGGATCATTTAATATTAGTTGTTTTAATGAAAGAATTCCAGGACAGGCGAGGCAGAAGCTATTCTCTTGAGTCTAAAAACATTAGTTAAGTGCAGCAGACAGGCCTTTCTAATGGCAGATTCATGGTGGGTGAGGTAAAATCAAGATGATTACAAAGACTGAAAGAAGCAGATTTTATTAGAGGGAAAATTCAAATTCTTTGCTGAGGTGGTGTAGATGTACCATCTTGGACACATACTCTGGTAAACCTGAGGTATTGCAGCTGACCTTGGGTAAGTCCCTGAATTTCTGGAGCCTTGGTTTTATCATCTATAAAATGGGGGTTTTATAATAGCTTATATAGTCATGAGTATTGAACTGGAAATTTTTTTTTTGTCTGAGCCATCCTGCCACCTGTTGGCAGCTCAGCGGCTGCTCAGCTCGGGCTGGGAATTGAACTGCTGTTGCTCAGAGCTCAAACTCTTGAGTGAGCTCTTAACCAACGGAGCCACTCGGCCGGCCAAACTGGAAAATCTTAATTGACAGATCCAACCTTCAGTCTTATATTAAGTATTGAGACTATGCTTTCTAAAACTTATGGATGCTATGAGAATGTAGGTCTATTTTCTACGGGAAGATCTGCTCTCTATAACTGTGCTACCCAATATGATAGGCACTAGCTATATATGGCTACATAAATTTAAATTAATTAAATTAAAATTTTAGTCCTGTGGTCTCACTAGCTGAATTTTGAAAGCTCAATAGACACATGTGCCAAGTGGCTACTGTAGTGGACAGTGCTGCCTAGGACATTTCTGGTGGCTGGGTCAGCTGACTCATCTCTCTTTGTCTC